AACAACTGTGAAGTAGATATTATTAGTGAGATTTTATACATAAGGAAACTGAAGCTTCAAGAAGTTATATAATTTGCAGTAGCTAACAAAGTTTCTAAGCAGAGGAGCTGGGATTCTAATTCAGGTCTGATTTCAAAGCTTAGGCTCTTTTTATCATAAAACATTAACCTGAACAGCAATTTAAAAAATCAGTTCACTATTCTATGTACTTTATATCCAGATGCAGAAAGCAATGTATGCATTAATATACTAGGTCTCATGACAGAGATAAAAGAATAATGTTACATTTTTAATCAATCTCAACCTTTTTCTTTTACCTTTGCATTATGCAGAAGTTTACCCATGTATTGAAGTAGACAAAACAGTGTAACAAACTCCCATATATATATCATCCAACTTCAACAAGTGTCAATTTATGGTCGATCTTGTCTCATGTATACTTACCCTGTTTCTTTCTCCTCTCCCATATTATTTCTCAGACATTATATCTTTAAATATCATAGCACACCTCTCTCTAAAATCAAGAACTCTTTTTTAAAAAATTAACCTCTAAAATAAAGAACTCTTTTTAACCTCTAAAATACAGAACTCTTTTTAAAAAAATTAACCGTAATACCACTGCCACACCTAAAAAAAATCAGTAGTTTCCTAATAATGTAAAATAACCAGTCAGTGTTCATATTTCTAATTCTCTCATAGATGTCATTTTTAAAAATAGTTTGCTTGACTCAGAATGCACATAAAGTTTATACATTCGTTGGTAAACGTCTTAAATCCCTCAATTTACAGTTATGGCTTTATAATTTCCTTACTCACTTAGCACTATTTGTTTTTGCCAGGCTATATTTTTATTTGTTTATTTCTTTGTTTGTGTGTTTTGAGACAAGATCTCGCTCTGTCTCCTAGGCTGAAGTGCAGTGGCACGATCTCGGCTTACTGCAGTCTCAACCTGCCAGGCTCAAGTGATCCTCCCACCTCAGCCTCCCAAGCGGCTAGGACCACAGGCCTGTGCCACCACGCCCGGCTAATTTTGTTTTTTTGTAGATACAGGGTCTCACCATGTTGCCCAGATTGATCTCAAACTCCTGGGCTCAAGTGATATACCTGCCCTCAGCCTGCCAAAGTGCTGGGACTACAGGCATGAGCTACCGTACCTGGCCTGCCAGGCTATATTATTAGGCATTGATTTACTTTGACATTAATATAGGCTTGCCATTTCAAAACGAGATTTTTAAGCTTCACAAAGTAGAATTTTTTCGTATTGAAATATACTGAATAATTTTCTCAGAAACCCTTTATACCACTTATAGAGATACTCAAAGAATCTTTAAGTTGGCAAGAGATTCCACTGACCCATGTTTACCACTACTACAAATGTAATGTGAGTGATCACTGGACAGAAAAAAAAAGAGATATTATTATATATAATATTCCCATGGTCTTCCCTAGATTTTTATTTAAATATTATGTCATTTGTTTTAGATTCTGGGCCTATGGTGGGAAATTCAATCTAATATTCATGAAGTTTTTTTTGTAGCAATAAATTTTGAATTATAAACATTACACTTTATAATCAAATTTTTGATTAAAAATTGTCACTAACTCATTTTATAAAAGAGGAAACTGAAGCAAAATGAAGGAAATCAGTTTGCTCAATAACTTTAAGTAATAGTGTCATCAAATCTAAGGGCAAAATTAATATTGCCTTATCAATATCACCTTTTAGATATAGATTACTGAAATTATAAAAATTCCATGGCAAAAACTCCACTGGCTTTTCTTCGTAACTTTAAGTAAAAAATTAAATAGAAAATTTTTTTGAGTAAGCAGGACATGAATTATCAAAGCAATATTATGTCTTATCGTCAAGTAAAAACAAAAAGCCTTTTTCATGTTCTCCAATTATGTTTAAGCTCATTAAAAGTGCCCTTCCATTTATATCCCCTCTACATTAAAGTAATATATTCTTTGGATCATGTTTTATTTTCCCTGTTTCCTTTTTAAAATAAATATCACTCAGGAAGTTGACAGTGGACCAATAAGAAAACCTAGGTGGAAATGTGAGAGAAAGAATTACCATTAATGTACCATTATGATAAATAGAAACTACTGGCTTTTTTTTTTTTTTTTTTTAACCATGTCCAGGTACTAAGCTAGATGCTTACACACATTACTACTAACCCTCAACAACCTTGCAATGAGACAGTGAAAAACAGTCACGAAGAGTATGGGCTCTCTACCTCTGGAGATAATGGGCTCTAGAATCCATACAGGGTTTCTTATTGGGGTGATGAAACGTTCTGAAATTAGATAGTGGTGATGGTTGCACAACTTGTACTGTACTATACTATACTATACTATATCTATACCACTAACTTGTACCCTTTAAAAGGGTAAATTTTATGGCATGTGAATTATATCTTGATAAGGCTGCTTTTTTTTTTTTTTTTTTTTTTTTGAGACATGAGTTTCGCTCATGTTGCCAAGGCTTGAGTGCAATGGCACAGTCTTGGCTCACTGAAACCTCCACCTCCCAGGTTCAAGTAATTCTCCTGCCTTAGCCTTCCAAGTAGCTGGGACTACAGGCATGCACCACCACTCTCAGCTAATTTTTTGTATTTAGTACATGTTGGTCAGGCTGGTCTCGAACTCCTGATCTCAGGTGATCCACCTGCCTGCCTCAGCCTCCCAAAGTACTAGGATTACAAGCATAAGACACCTCACCCGGCCAAGGCTACTATTTTTAAAATATGTGCTACTAAAAGGATATACAAATAATGGATCTTTTATAATGAAAGACTATTTTCCTTCCAGGCATCAGACCTGGTTTAGGTCAAATATCTTGAAGAACTCAAGTGCGTATTTAGGCAAATGCAGAGTTAATAAAATTCATCCCATCATCTTCTTGTACAGAGGGTCCTGTCACAGACAAAAATGCTCAGAAAGTTTGGGGCCATCATTTCTGTTCTTTCTCACTCCCATCCCAACACCACCCAGTTTTCAAGGGCTTTAAAGATTCTTCTGCTAGTTGTTCTCTTTCTTACATATTTCTAATCTTTTCATAATCTTAAATTGTCCTGTTGTACCTTATCTAGACCAGTTACTGCTCTTACCCATCCCACCAGCTTCTGAAGCACGTAATCAGCTAAGGTCTGATCAAAAGGGCAAGGTAAAAGATACTTTTACCTCTCACTAATGCCCTCCACCCCTGAAAATATGTGAGAAGGCATGAGACTAGGGGCTAGGGCATGAGTTTTTCTATATCATCTTTCCTTACATTTACTTCCAAATGCACTAAGATTTTGCCACATACATTTAATTGCTGTCAAGAAGCAAATACAGTTTTCTGTTCTAAATAAATTTTCACTTGTCTCCTTGGCTGCTCTACCTCTGTCCTCTCTCCAAGAGAGAAAGGATGGGTAGAAGCTGCTTTATGTTGAAAGATGACTGCAATGCCACCATGTCAAGAATCTGGTAAGATGTTCCCTTTGTCTTTTTTAGTCCCATATAGTCTCTTGTGTTAAGCTCCAAAATTATTTTCTCTTCTCAACCTATTCCTATACCACATCTCTGACACTAATTCTTTATTTCTCCTTTAGGTAATTAATTCTACCCTCACAGTTTCATTCATTTCTGCCAGTTCACAATCATATTCTTCCCCCTGTGGATTTTGGTTAACATCTGTTAAACCCTGAACTATAGGGCCATCCCCTGAATAGTGCAATTCACATTTTGCAAAGCAAACCACTACACTATTACATAAAATTATCCACTGCTCAATCTATGTTTTCAGCTATCAATGCTTTAGGACAGTGAGATATATAGTAACAGCACATCACATTATGTAAAATAGTGTAAGTGCTCCCACTTTAACTTACAAGAGTCAAGAAGCTTTGAAAATATATGATTTTTATTTCTTAAAGATGGCTTTAAAAGAAAGCTTTATAAAAACTTGAAATACACTAAAAGTATGAGCCAGAAAAATAAAAATTTTAATAAAACTATTATAACCACTCACAATGTTAATTTATTTAAGGTATTACTATTCACTGAGGTTGGATACAGTGACAACATTAAGAGAATAAAAAGTACTTAAAAAGTTTACAATTGGTTAAGAAAGTTATAGAGCAAAATAGTTCATAAAGCTATTTGTAAGTTTGATCTAAAACTCTGATTATCTGAGAAAATAAAGCCCCTCCATTTACAATAAATTAAGATAATATTCAGGTTGACATTTCCAACATTCTCAACCAAGGAAGGAAGGCAAATACTTTAAAAGATATCCCCTCAAACTGTTTGAATTCAGAAAAAAATATTTCAATTCTGAACCTTTTAAAAATGTGTTTTCATCCTGGCCTTTTTTTTTTTTTAATTTTGCACACAGCTGTCTGTAGTACTTTTTAGAATCATGCCAGATGCTGGGTTCATCAAGCAAAAGCAGGAAAACAATGGTTTGAAAGCAATTAGAAGCACTGAGGCTGCAGCGAGGCTCATATTAAAATGTGATAACACTGTTCTAGTGGGAATTTCAACACTGCTCCATTTCTGACATTTCTCTGCTGCCAGACAGGCAGGTTGTGTGGAAGGGCACTGTGATCGAGGAGGTAACATACTGGAATTTATTTCTGGAGCAAATGAAGGATTAGCTGAGTTGGAACCCTCCCAAGGTTTTTATTATGGACTCGGCTACTATTTTATTTGAATGCTACTGGATCCTGTTGGCACCTAACAAAGCTCAAGGAATTAAAGCATATTATAGCCTTGGTTTTATAAAATAATCTAGCAACAATCCGCTCAGAAGGAAGAAGCATAGAGCCTTTTGTTGCTAAAAAGCAGGGCAGGGGGGCGCAGCAGGGTGAAGGTTAATTAAACACTCCACTAACTTTCCTTGGAAATGGCTAATGCCACTCTGTGGAGAAGTCTGTAGAGAAGAGACAGAAATAAACAATCCCATTTACACATTTTTAGCATAAAACCATACGTGGTCAAAGAGGACTCACCTTGGGGCTGAAAATCCCAATAGTACCTGAAATACAAGGGGAAAAAATAAGGGAGTAAGTCAAACTTGTATTTCTCAGTTTTGGTTGGCCTACCATAGTATAGCACCTGGTCCAGGAAGCTTGCTAAAGTCTATAACCAGCCAAAGTCACTACTAATTTTGAGGAAAACAAAAGGTTGTCCCTGACATTTGAAAGAGTCTCAATGGCTTAAAAGATGCATTTAATTCACTGAAATTCCTCAGATAATTTTGACTTTAGAGCTGGAAAGATCCTAAAAGGGAACCTAGCGGTGGCCTGGGGTTTCTCATCAAGAGCTCTACAGGCTTTCAGCAGGATGGTTCTTTGCTGTGACAATCTGGCCCGTGTATTACAGGACCATTACCATCACTGGTCCTAGGTAACAAATACCAGAGGCACTCCCAGTTGTTACAACAGTCAAACCCCACCACCAACACCAACACATCCTCAAATGCCTCGTAAGCCTAATTTTTTTTCTCTGTTACCCAGGCTAGAGTACAGTGACACAATCATAGCTCACTGCAGCCTCGAACTCCTGGACTTTGCCTTTTAAGCCTAAATTCTTAATTTTACAAGTGAAACATGAGCCGGGTGCAGTGGCTGATGCGGTGGCACTTTGGGAGGCCAAAGCAGGCGGATCACGAGGTCAGGAGTTCGAGACCAGCCTGACCAACATGGTGAAACTCTGTCTCTACTAAAAATACACAAATTAGCTGGGCGTGGTGGCAGGCGCCTGTAATCGCAGCTACTCAGGAGGCTGAGGCAGGAGAATCCCTTGAACCCAGGAGGCGGAGGTTGCAGCGAGCCAAGATCGCACCATTGCACTCCAGCCTAGGTGACAGAGTGAGACTCCGTCTCAAAAAACAAAATAAAACAAACAACAAGTGAAACATGAACAATTAACTTAAGGTTGTCTAACATTTTAGTGCAATTGACTTAAGGTTGTCTAACATTTTAGTGTCTGAGCCAAGAATGGGGCTCTTGTGGTTCATTGTACCATCCTATCTCCTCTATTATTTTAGGAAATAATTGGCAAAACTGACAACCCTTGAAGTCTTTTTTTTTTTTTTTTTCCTGAGACTGGGTCTTGCTCTATCACCCAAGCTGGAATGCAATGGCATGAACATCACTCACTGCAGCCTTGACCTGCTGGGCTCAAGAGATCCTCCTGCCTCAGCCTCCCATGTAGCTGGGGCCACAGGCACGTGCCACCACATCTAGATGCCTACACACATTACTACTAGTTCTCAATGACGTTGCAATGAGAGAGTGAA